AAGTCAAATATGTGCTAAGAAGCCGAGCTAATAGTTGGAAAAGACTCAGATGTAGAAATTCTTCTGATTTAGTGCGATCTTTGAAGAGCTCTGCAGGATATATATAAAATATATTCGGTATCAGATATAACTCTCAGAAGAGCATTAAGGTAGTTAAGTAAAAACAAATTTATAATACATAATAGGTTGGCATAATGCTCTTAATACTATTTTGTTAATAATTTCTTATATAAAAAAAATCAAATATAATAGAATAACTATATATATATTTTTTTTATTACATATTATGATTTTCTGCGCCATATTTTAATTCTTTTAAATTCTTACTAAGCATTAAATCATTTTTTTTTTTATTACAACTTTCTAAAGGAGTTTCTTCTTTTTAATTTGGCTTCCTTATTGGCTATATAAATATATATAGTTTTACATATATATGTTTATATACATTTATATATATTTACAGCTGCCTTTCACTCGCAGCTTTTATTATATTATGACGCTTAATAATGCGGCATTAGGCACTGAATGGTGGCCAGAACGTTGGCCATGTCTAATTGCTGCCTGGCTGCCTGGCTCCCCCTGCCCAGCCCATCGCCTGGCCAAGAAAATTGGCATCAGCTGGGGCTGCTTTGGCCAAGATGGCGTTAAATTCGACAGCTTGGACTTTTCTTATCGCGCTTATCTGCGCAGTGTCAACGACGACGTCGTCAGCGTCGCCTCGGCCTTTTGTTGTTGACCATAACCGTGACTCTGGCCCTGGCCGCAGCTATAGCCGTGGCATTATGGCCCAAACACTCCATGACCAACAATGGCCAGTGCCATTCATTAACAGCTACGGCTTTGTCCCTCTGTCTGCGGCATCATCTTTTGAGCCGAGGCAACGATTTTGGCATGCGGCATGCGGCAGGCGTTCATGGCACTCGTAATGCCAAACGTAATCTCAAATTACTGCAAATTTTCGCAGCTCACCTTTTGCTATTATGCATTTTCCCTGCTTTTCCATATGTTTGCCAGCAACTCTTGCATTATTTTGATTGTTGAGCATTTTATTATCATGTCAATAAGCCGGTCTTTTATGCCACCTAATGTATCTGTTATGCACACACATACACACACACACACACACACACAGTCACATTGAGTCGTATCTTAACGCATTTCCGCCATGCACAACTTGTTGCAGCATCGTGCCCCGCCTCCGCTCCCTTAAGCCTTGCACCTGCCCCATCGCATCCGCGGCGATTACCGTGTGGACAGGTGCGCGCTGAAGGCCATTGAAAAGCGTTTGATAGCGGCCCAGACACTGAATGCATTTTATGATTTGTTTCTGCCAAACATCAGCTCGCATGTGAGGAAATGTAAACGCCGCTGGAGAAACACTTAACTTTATCTTCGAGTTAAGCATCTATATAGAAAATATTTATATTGAAAATAAAGGAAAAGACTTTCCAAGCAACTTCAGAGACGGTCTGGCTGATCGATGCCCAGAGGAAACTAGTTGCATGCGTGCTATTCAGCATGTGTGCATAGATATGCAGCTAAGCATGTGCGCATGTGTGCATTTATGCATGTATGTATGCATGCTTCTATAAGTATGTATGCATGTGAATTATGAATATATGCACTCAGGTATACGTACATGCATGTGCCCATGTACATGCACATGCATGTTAGCTTCCACATATATGCATATAAACATTCTCTTAGGTCAGCAGCTCATTTAGTTTCCATTTGGCATAGCTGCAGATGCCTACTATGCGATTCTCATAATCATATATCCATATATAAATGCTGGCCCAGAGTGCCCTTCTCTGCAATTCTCAATAATCGACCTAGACAACTAATCAATTTCATAGTTAACTCAATGTGTCAGCCCATATCGCACCTCGGCCATTAGCCGCTCCTAAATGCTGCTCAAGCACTCGGATCGGCACCTGTTCCAAGGCATTGGCTTTGACAAACCCCAGGCCAAATTGGGATTGCGACAATTGCCATGTGTACATACATCATACAGAACTTTAATTGTGCCTGGCACTCAATCTTTCAATCACGCCCGTCCGCCGTGCCGCAGTTGCAACAACAACAAGTTGCCCGACGTCGCATGCAGCCACGCGGATTACATGCGGCTGAGTGAGCGCGGTGAAGGACGACGAGGCATGCGAGTCGACTCGAGTCGAGGCAGGGCAATATAATCTATATAATCATAAGAGTGTACCATGTTGTAACATAGCCAGCACAAGAGGAGCAAGCAGAGCCGGCACTGTCTGTCCCCTGCATCTCTTGGCTCGCCCCGCCGCACGCATTTGCGACATGTTGTCAACTCGAATTGCGTTCGACTGATTGAAGGCAGGCCCAGCCCAGTCGACGAGGCCGAGGCACTGCGACAAGTTGATGGCCACATGGCCATGGCCATAGTCAAAGCCCAAGCCAAAGCCAAAGCCAAAGCCCTGGACAGTGGTGCTTGAGAGCTACAAAGTAGGCAAGAGCCCAAGTGGTCCGTGACTCTAAACTGAGCCACAGACAGGTTTGGCGTCTTCGCTTTAGCATTTCGGGTAGGCGTTGCAGATTGATCAACCGAGTTGGCCAGAGACGTCGCGACATTTGTCTAAGTCGCTGCCTTGTTTACGTTTGCGCTTTGCAGCGTCATGGATGAGCTGTGCAGCTGGACAGCGAAGAGCTGAGCACACCGTCCCAGCAGATGCGGCCACGTCTATAAGTTTGCCTCGTACAAACATTTCAAGTAATTTCGCCATCAATCTTTCACTTTTGCACTCGTTTCGGACAGGGCCCATGACCTTGTCCTCATGTCCTCTGCCCACTCGCTCAACCTGAGCCTGTGCGGCTCGGCTGCTGCATGCGTACAGTTTATTTTGATCTTGGTGTCTCCACGATTTGCATAACTTGTCATCTTCAGCCGACGAATAGCAGCAGCAGCAGGAGGAGGCGGAGGAGGAGGAGGAGGATATGCAGGAGGAGGAGTTGCCACAGCACAAGGCAGAGTTCATTGTCAGTATCAATAAATATCAACGCGCTGAGCGACAACTTCTTTTCAGTGCCCCAAGCACAAGGTAGTTGTCCCATCCTCAAGCACATCCACATCCACATCCACATCCTCTCATGTTGATGCCGAGTGGCACTGATGAGGCCATCGTATGTCAGCAGCAGTTTTTCGTGTGGCGGTTAACATTTTGCTATTTTATGAGCACTGATATAAATGATCTTTTAATTAATATCACTTTAGATAGACCCGGCCGGCCAGAGTGGAGGCCAGCCAAAGCCGTAGATGAAGCTGAAGCCGAACGCGAATTGATGGAGCATTCTTATTATGCAAAGTGATGTTTACGATTATGCATTGGGATCGGAGTCAAATGCAACGTCAACAAGCGCTTGGCCAATTGTCTCAGTCGTCTGGCTCTTAAATAGCTTTAATGACATCCCAGCCCATGGATTAGGGCTTAAAACTGGCTGGCTCGACGCTCCTTAAACCTCGCTCGTCTAGCTGGTCAATACCCGGGCCGCTCGCTCTACGCTGTTCCTCATGTGACCAGTCAATGATAATCGGATCAGATTACCATTCTGATAATGTTAAAAGCTTTTTGCAATTTGCCATACAAATTGTTGTTGCGCTCGCTGCGAGTTATTTTGCACTTAGCCAAGGACGTACGCATCTACCCATGCCTGACCATATGGAAATAGAACATTAATTCCACCCTAAAATAGGCAAATCAAATGGTTTTATTTCGGGACACGAATCGAATCACTTGAACAGCTCGAGCTGAGAGACGCTGAGAGAGTTGGTCAAACTTAACAGATAAGCGAGACGATATATGGAAACTGGAAACGTTTGTGATTTATGTTGGAATGGCGATAAGTGAACCACAGTTTCAGATGGAATTGCTAGGAATATGTGTTAAGAGATTTATGTTGCGCTTAAAGAGCAACTACACATAAATAGTGGAAGTTGTGAGATAAAAGACTTGGTAATTTGAAGATCTGCTATTTATATGTATAAATAGATATATGATATACCATGTGTAGTTACTAATGGTGTAGATGATTAACTGGAAAATGAGATTAAGGGCAATTCTATATATCATTGGCATATATATTACATCGAACTTTATTAGTATTACCATTTACTAGAACATTAATCTAAGCATTATTATGAGCAGCAGTATTATTATATTATATTTATATGATATTATTATATTGATGTTAATAATAGTTTTTACATTTATATAAAATATATTTTTAACTCTAGCATTACAATTAGCATTAGCATTGACATAAGTATGATCACTCTTATTAGAATTAGCATCCACATTGTCAGCAATAAGTATATGGACGAATATTATCATTAGCATCAGCTCTTGTACCATATTTATAATAATATTCTTAAGTTTTACCCTATATACCCTATATGTATATAGTACATATGTCTTTATAAAAAAACGTGTAACAGTCCCCCATATTTTGCGCTTTTTAAAACTCATCCATCTAGTTCGCTTACAGTCCTGGCCATGCGGCTATGGCCAGCTATCTGCCGTATGCACAGCTCGTGTGATAAGATCGCATTGGTAATGTTAATGGTATGGAAAGCGGCGGCGGCGCTAGTTGCTGTCGGTGCTTTGCACATTTCGGAAAATGAAGTCATTAAATGCTATTACAAAGCGTAATTGTTCACAAATTATGCCTCGCGCATTCCACGGCATAGACAGGAACCCGACACTTCCTCCAGATAGTCGTCGCATACACCCTACAGACACACAGATGTCTGTATGACTCTGACTATGAGTGTGACTCTAGTATGAGTATGAGTGTCTGTGTCTGCGTGCATATGTGTGTATACACACGCCCCAGCACTGTGCATTTACACCACTTAGCTATCTTAATTATAGGCCCAGAGTGCCACATCAACTGCACACGCTTTCTTTCAGTGTAACCTAGGTTGGGCTGGGTTGGGGTGAGCCAAGCTCTTTGTGCACCTGTCATACAGAGACTGAGTGTGCGAATGAGTGACACTTGCCCCAGTTGCCACTAAAAAGGCCAACGAATTAACATATTTATTATAACAACTAAAAACCCGGGGAAAATGCTTCCAATTTGGCGAACAATGCCCATTGCATATGAAATTCCAGTTAATATACAATTTATTACGCATCATCGTTGGCATTTATGGAGGAGCCGAATAGCGGAGCTGTTGAACTCTCAACTGTGACGCGAGCACCGTCAATTGAATTATATGCCCGATATACCCAGTGCATTCTTATTTTTGCCAACTCATCGCACAGAAGGCAAAAGTCATGTGAACTTCCTGAACCAACCCAAACCAAACCAAGACAGACAGACACTCAACAGCGAAGCGATTCTCTGGCTGGCTGGCTGGCGGAAATTGTGTCATGATTATAGACTAAAGCGCCTATTTAGTTACGCCTTATTATTTCCTTTGGCTTGCCTGCTCCTACTACATGCACCAAATTGAATTGAACTCCGCCTAATTGAAGTTGTGTGTGGAAATGACTTGGAATATTTCTGCCCTCATCCCTTCCAGCTCTCCCTCTCAACTAGCACTGCTCGGCGTTTGGGGCTCATTAAAGTTCATTCGGTTTCGATTCGTTTGTTCTCTGAGCGCATTAGTGGCTGGAGATCGTATTCTTTATGAAATTGAAGCATTTACTAGACCATTCGAGGCCCTTAATTAGGTCTCGACTTTGATTAGCTCTCACGGACATGGCGCATTACATTGCATTGGGTAGTATTAGATAATATTAGCTAAGACTACACAAATTCTTTGTGCAGAGAATCGAATAGAATGCCATATAAAGGTTTTCCATAGTTCAGTTAGGAGTAATTTCCATAATCCATGCTGCGCATTAATCATTGCACACGGGGCAAACATTTATATAGCACTTGACTTGGGGCATCCATTAAATAGTTTTGGCTACCGGTTAGAATCTTTCAAAACGGCACATTGTCTTAGCCAAATTAAAGTTTACTCAGCTGTGCGAGGCAGTTGGCCAGGAGTGGTTCCAGGAGCTGCTGGTCTCAGCCAGGTAGCCGACACCTGAGTTGAATTTTAGTTTTGCGCATGCGGAAGCGTTTTTCGCGTCATTTTTCATGCTGAAATTTAATAAAGAAAATTAATTTGTGGACATTTGACTCGAGGCGAGACAAAAAACCGCGCGCTCACCATTCAGATTCAGTCTCCCATAGCCAGTTACTGCCCGCTCCTCGTTTCAGAGACTCCTCCTGCGACTACTCAAACTGCACGCAGACTTTGATCGATGGCACTCACGATGCTGCAGGCGAGTGAAGCTCCGAACGACGACAATTTCAACGGCAGTTGCAGCAGCCGGGAATGCAGCATGGTCGCTACATGTGTCGCTAGGCCGTGGCCTATCATCCAAGAGGCAAGTGCGGGGTAGGCGAGGAAATGCAGTTGCAGGACGCTGGGCTGGGCTGGGCTGGGCTGGCCGGAGCTGCAGCACTAGCTCGTCCTGTGTGCCGCATGAGTTGCAAGTTAGCGCAATTAATTTATTTCAACACGAATTTAACTCTCATCGTGTGCTGTCTGAGTGCTCGCTCCTCACTTCATTTCATTTCCCATTGCGTTTTACATCATTTTTATTAAGGCAACAGCTTCGAGACTTAACCAACTCCTCTCCTATTCCACCTCCTCCTGCACGTCCCTCCTCCTCCTGCACGTCCCTCTGATGTGCATTTGTCAGTCGGTTCGGCATTGTAGAAATTGTAAAAATTTTGTCGTTACCTTATCTAAATATGGCCATTGCATATAAAGACTTGGCATACGTTGTTGTTGCCCTTGTCGTCGCATTGGTTTGTCCAGCTGCTGCTGCTCTCTCGCCGCAGGACTCACCGATGGCTCCGCCACAACTGATGCTGCGTCACTCATTTTTGCACAGTCCATTAGTTCGCGGATGCAGTCAGCTCTGAAGGTTGTTGTATGTAATTGTTGTTGTTGCTGTTGTTGTTAGTGTTGTTGGTTGTCTGGCTGTTGGCTCTCTACCGGTTTGACAGTCGCTCAGCAGCAGCAGGTCGCGCAAAGCCAAGCTGCAGCTCCATTAGCTGCCCCTGATGCAAGGTAAACGCTTGTTTTCATTGCGTTGCAGAGCGGTTCCCGCGTTTATTTTAAGCTCTACTGGGCGCGTCCTAGTCGCCGTCGCAGTCGCATGCAAGCAACCAACTAGAGCCAGAGCTCCCTTCATTTGTATGTAATTTTCGGTTATGCGAAGTAATTTGAGATCGCGCCACACGCGCCGCTTTTAATGACTTCATTAAATGCTCGGTCCAGCATGAAGAGAGCGAAAAAAAAACACAGCCAAACTAGTTTAACAACAGCTCTAGTACAACAGTCAAGCAAACATCAGCAACATCTGACGAAGGCAGGCCATGGTCTGGCCAGGCCAGTTCATTCCTGCACTAGTACTTCCGATGATGACTATGAAATGATTCCTTTAGGGCATCATCTCTTACTTTGCACTCGAGCCTCGGTCGAGGGCAGCCGAAATGAGAAATGTCTTTGCTGGACCACCTTGAATAGAAATGAATTCCTTTTGCCACGAGTGAATGTATTCGTAAGCCAGCATTTGTGCTAGCATTAGTGAGCTTTCCAAGCTCTATTTGCATTCAGCATTCAGTTGCCTCTGCCTGTGCTTTCTGCGTAATCTCTGGCAGTCAGTGCATGGAACGAACACATATCTTTGAAACATTCCAGCATTATTTTTGGCATTTTAGGTGGCTTCAAATCTCGTTCATGGTGGCTTCTGTCATGGACCTGCTTAATGGCTTAAGATGTGTGGGGAATGGACGTTCGTCACTTGGTAAAATGCAAATTTCTGCAGTCTCTGCGATGAGTTTGACTAAATTCCAAATGGCGCTCGCTATGCGACGGGAGCTGGACGCAAAAAGAACTTCAGTTATTGTATGAAATGAACTGCGTATGTACGATGAATGGCCGGCAACAGGAGATGAGTTGAAGTTGAGGCTAAAGCTGGGGCTGCGGCTGGGGCTGAAGCTGACGATGACTGGGGCTGAGGCTGCGGCTGGGGCTGGCGTTGTCCATTTACCGGCAGAGTCGTTACTCATTCTCAGGGCCACGGACGAGGACGTGGATGGATAATTATGACGTTGCAACAATTCCAGCATGCAACATGCGGCAGCAGCAGCAGAGAGCTTAGGCGACGGGCGACTCTGACTGCGACGGCGACGGCGACTGTGCCCAAGTGACAGTGCAACATGATTGCTCTCGGGCTCGCCACATGCCACATTTATCATTCGTCGAAACGTTGAAAAATTAGTCATTCCTTTATTTTACACCCAAATGCCGAGAGCTGCCTCCCGGCCGCCCAAAAACCAGTCCGTAGACCAGAGCAAATCCTTCTTGCATTACTTGCCACAACTTGCCACATACTTGGTGACCAGAGCGACAGAGCCCGCCGCGCCAGTTGCCATCGTTGTTCTTGTTGTTGTTGCTGCTGTTGTTGTCCGTCGTCTCCCTGCAACAACATGCAAATGACTCTTTTAATTTTTATGAATTTCTCTGATTACGAAAATTGCTTCTGGGCTTTTGGCCGCAGCAGCGAGGCACCTTGAAGGTGGGTTGCTGCCGTGGTTGTTAGGCAGGCGCGCATGATGCATCGCGCATCTTCATTAGTCGACGCTGCTCCGATGTCACACACACACATTGGCACCTGCATGGGTGTGTGCTCGAGTCTAGGCCATCATTTTTAGGCCCAGTTTAGACAGTTGGCTGTGGAAATCGCTGCCGGCCTTTTACTTGCTTTGGCCGCTGCTGTGCGATCAGTGTCCATGTTTGCGTTCGCTGTCGCATGTTTTACTGGAGCACAAACAGACTCACACACGCACACATACATACATATGCGCTCTGGCGGATCAGCTTGGCTCATTGGCGCTCAGATCGTGGGCTCGCATCGAAATTACAAACGAATAAATCATTGAGTACGCTGCTTGGCCTGCTCCTTGGGCTTGGTCTGCCCACATCCAGTGGGCCAGCTCACAAAGGTACTGTAATTAGTTGGAATTGTAATTCATGGCGCGATTAGATAAAGATCGGCTGCCAATTAGTAACGCACCAGTCCGTGAATAATATTGGATGACAAAAGTGCATCAAATTGGCCCGATGGCTATTTTCGTTTGTAATCTGAGTAGCTTGTGGAATGCTCAACAGGAATAATTGGACAGGCGAGTGCTTCTATGTGAATAGCTAGTGGTAGCAGAAGAAGAAGAAGAAGAGTGGGACATTTTTAAACAAAAGCAATAGGAAATCGTATAATAAAAGCAAGTTTCGTTGCGAATGGCTTCTGGTAGGTAGAAGAAGAAGAATCTAATATTTGGGAAATTTAAGTTAAGTAAACAGCGAGCGTAGCGAGAACAGCTGACATTTGGGAAATTATATGAACTTGAGCCTAGTGAATGGCAAAAAGCCAAAGAGAAAGACATTTGAATTTCTGCAAATGTGTCCGTTACATTAGCAAAATAATTTTAGTTCGTTTCTCAGCCAATCTGAGCCAATTAGATTCTATCGCCTGCTATCGGCTTGTCCACATTTTCAGCTGGCTGCCAATTGGGCCGCAACTTGATTTCAATAAAAATCCATTTAATTCGACATTTGTGGCCCGAAAACAACAACAACAGCAAAAACAGTTGTCGATTAGCTGGAGCGTTTTTGGCTGCCGTCTGGCGGCGTTTGAACTGTGCGCCTCGTGCGGGTGCTGGCCCCCAACTCCAATTGGGATTGCGGCCGAGGGTGGAGCGGCTGCAGCAACTGCAACGTCGCGGTTTCATATAAATCTCTCGTTGTAATTGCCGCGATAAGCGCAGTGGCCGTAAAAGCGGCGGCGGCCTCTTAAAACCGGTGGCCAAAGCATCGAACTGTTGCTACCAATATATATGTATATACATACATATGTATGTGTGTATATGTATATGTATATTGGGCCAAACTACATAAATATCGCGTGAAATGCATTTGCGGCCGATAAATTTGGCAATGGCTGCTGCAACGGCGATAATCAACGCAATTGCAATCGATTTTGGCGTAATTTAGGTACGGCTTAAGTGGCTTTTGGCCAGGCTAACAAGCGGCACTGGACGCCTTGATTGAAAATATCGCTGTCGATCTGCGCGCGTGTGTGTATGTGTGTGTAAGTGCGAGAGCGTGTCGGTGTGTGTGGGCCAACACCTAAACAACAACAAGCGAAACAACAATAGCAACAATCTATATCAAACTGCGTTGATCGTTCCAAATTGTTGTTAGGCAAACTACCGTTAAACTCACTTTCACAGCGGGCAGCGGGAAGCGTGGCGGGAATCCCGCTAAAAATTACTCATACGCAACGCATTGACCCCAAACACTCCATCGAGCAGAGGTCGCAGCTGCAGTCACCTTCAGTTGCAGTTGGCCTGCCCGGCACTCGAACCTCGAGCCGTCCATCCGTTGGCTCGTCTGTGCGCTCTTTCCGTTGCCCGTTTCATGCCGCCACGTTCCGTGCCGCTGATTAATTACACCGCCCGCTGTGCGAATTCCTCAATAAAAATCATAATTTCGTGTTTGCGGCCGATGGCCAAAATGATGATTGTTGCCGCATTTATGTAAGCCACGGCTTATTAGCTGCACGAGCTGCCATCTACACAACAGCTCACTTCCCCTGCTGTAACCGCCGTTGCCCCGCTGCCCCGCTGCCCCGCTACCCCGCAGCGCATGCAAAGTGTAACGAATTTTTGATTGAAACTTTAAAATACTCGTTAGGAGGGTTTCCTCGTCGTTGCGCGTGAGTTTATCTTTTGATTAGATTCGTTAGAGTTTGTATTGGCCTTTTGTAACACGAAATTGGTCAGCTACACATGTATGTGTGTGTCTATCTGAGTTCTCTTTTATTTTTTTTTTTTTTTTTTGGCTGAATGGAGTCATTATTCACAATTTAGTAACACTTGATTTGCATTTGGCGTTTACTATATACCCCAAACATAAACTACAAGATTTTTTAGACATTTTGCTACTATTATTCACATAAAATTGGGTTAACAGTGGGGTATATTGGTTGTATAGTGGTTTCGTTTTACAGTCGAGCATTTCAATCATCTTTCTAAGCAGAGTTTCTTGCGATTCTGAGGCAATGCAGAATTATTTACTTTAGTTTCATTAGTTAGGGTATTTGCTAGTCATTCACATTCAATCAAAGTATTCTTTCTTTTTTTTTGTAATTTAGCTTTCTGCTGATGCCAAACTTTACACATGAAAAACGAAACATATTTCAGTTTAATAAAAATAATATAAAAAAGTATTATTTTTTAAATGCAAAAAATTGTATTCATTTATTTATTTTTTAGCCATAGCGCGGCTTTTGAATTGACCCACTTAGCCGAGCGTTTCATTCGGACAGCTTGTTAATTATAAGAGATATTTTAAGCATGGCTATACCAATTAAAAATATTTATTTACCAAAATATCAACATGCCCCAAAAATGTCGTGAAAGCCAGCAAAGAAATCAAATAAATACATATATAAGAAATTATTGTTGTCATCAAAATAAAAGTGAGTAAAGCCAGTCGCTGTTGTTGCACGTGGCACTTCTAATTAAGACACCGCAACAGATTTCCATATGTGTCAGAATCCCCCCCAAAAAATACGATATACATATACAGATGTATGCATGTGTGTATGTATAATCCCAACTGTGGAATGGATAAGCTTTGCATTGGTGTGTGCAGGCCCAGCAGGACGCATTCAGAAATCATTAAGAGACCGCAGCTTGGACTCCGCGGGCCGGCTGGTGAAAGGTGCCATCCGCTGCCATATCTGACAAACGGAGCCGAAAAATTGCTTTGACGTTGCGTCAAAATTTCACACTTTTGCGCCAGATAAAAGCCAAACAGAGTCGATGACGAACTGCAGCAGGAGCAGCAGCAGCAGGAAAGGCAGCAGCAACAACAACAACAACAACTGTAAATTCAGCTGCATTCTCCAAATATTTGGCATATGCATGCAGACCATACATCATTAAAAAAGAGTGTTAAGTGCAGAGGCAGGGCCGCAGCAGTTGAGACTGAGACGGAGCTTGGGACTCAGACTGAGACTGCGTCTGCGTCTGATTCGCAGTCCGAGTCGAGTCGAAATTAGCATACAAGCCGCGCTTTTGCCATAATTTGCATATAAAATTAGCGCAACACTTTAGCCGCCTCCTTGCGGCCGCCCGCTGCCCCCCTCAAGCTGCTGGTGACACTTGGCAAGGCAACTCCACTCCACTCGCTGCTCATTTAGCGCCTTGCATACGCTGATTGGTTGTACACACAGAGTCGGAGTCGGAGTTGGGAGCGGGTGCTGGAAGCTGTGCGCTATGATAATTAAGCTGCGGAGAAAGAGAGCTAAAAATCCTGCTGCACTTGTTGCAGCAATTTGCATTGCCGCAAGCCTTAATGACTCACACATTCTATATGCGCAGCTATGTACATACATATACATACATACATACATATATGCATATAAAGTATATGTATGTACATATATGTATATCTATGGACAGTTGCGGCGCCTTCACGGCAATTAGCAGCCGGCAAAAGTTTCGTTGCCTGATTAGTCACGCCTCACTGTACAGCAACATTCCCTGAAAAATAGACATCCATAAATAACATCGAAATACCAAAAAATAAATAAAAATGAAAAACAAAAGATAGACTTGCTTACTTAGCTATCCGCATTCCCTTTTCCAGCCGACTTTCTGAATAATTTGTTGATTTTGCTTCTCATAACTTTCGAGCGTGAAAATGTTAAAGGTTAATAATAATGCTCTTTAATTTGGGAATGTGGAATCTATAAATAAAACATTAAGAGTTTACACAGCTTAAACACTTCTGTTAGGCTTAATTATGAGAGAACTCCAGTAGTGGGGGAACGAAGACAAAAATATATACATACTTGATTTGGTTTTGATATGGTTGCTGTTATGCTAGCAATTTAAGGGCTATAATGAGTATTAGCCTAGTATTTTGTATATACCCAAAATCAATTGAGTGTTTTATCTCGTCCAGCTGATGGCATAGATCCTAATCTGTGTTGAGTTAAAAGAGAAGATTAGAGATATATTGAGGTGAGTTAGATTAGATTATATTAGAAATGAACAAGAGAAGATTAGGGCTATAGCAAGATGATTTGAATTTGAGGTGTTCAATGAGTACAATGTATAATCCCCTTATGTATAATACCTTATTGCAAACTGACTGCAGATCTTTGCAGATTTCCATGAGGAGTACAAGAAAGAAAGAAAGAGAGGGAGAGAGAGAGAGAGAGAGAGAGAGAGATGGAAAGCGCGTGTATGCATAGCTCTATAAATGCTAATCAAGCATACTTATAAAGAATTCATATACCATAATTTATTCTTTCTATAAGTAATATCATTATCTCTCTCTCTCTTTCTCTCTCTCTTTCCCTCTCTGCATCTCCAAACGGAATTCAAAGTTAATTGGCTGAGAAGCGATAGAAACGATAGCCAATTAAAATGGTAAAAAGTTATTCCATAAATGGAAATTGATTGGGCAATGAACAATAAAAGTACATAAATTCTTAATGCTGCACACGGCAGATGCTTAAATTTAAATTATCAATTGTAAATATGCACAATTATTGATTTCGCTTTTACGGTACTTACACGCTCCATGATTATCTTGTTGGATCCGGAGTTGCGGCGCTGGACTTGGGGACTTACGGATGCGTCACTAAATCAATGCAAGTCATAAACTGCAATATGGTTTTTAATTTATAGAATATACATGTGCATACATACATATTTATGTATGTGTGTGCTTATATACATACATACATACATATGTATATTATTGCGCATTGAGAGTAGTTATAAAAGCTGTAAATAAATAAATTGGAAATTTAAAAATAAATATTTATTTACATATAATTGCATGTCAGGCATGGAAATTAATGCGATTGCAGTTTATGACAAGCGATTAAAATTTAAAATGACAACATAAGCGAGTGGAACGGACGCTGATGGCCCAGGCAGAGGGCAGGCAGGTGGAGGTGTGAGTGCCTGGTGGCTGGCCAATAGCTCGTTGCATTCACAATGGAGCGGTTTTAATTATGCAAAAGTGTTTTCGATTGGCCGCTGGCTGCATTCGACTTGACTCGCATTGGCAGTGGCTCAATTAAGTAGCACAGATCCCGTAAGCCGATAGCTTGTTCTACTCAAGACTGACATTTAGATAGGGTTATCTAAAACGGCCTGGCGGCTGCAGCTACAGCTGGAGCTACTGCACACGAAGAAAATAACTGTTGACACTCGTAGCCCCGAAATAGAAGTGTTAAAGAGAGTTTCCAATACGAGTGCCGGCTCGCTGGAATGGTTCATTAGTCAAACGTTGGGTGACAATCAGATAGGCCCTTGGGCCATGGTGGCTATGGTGGCACCTGCGCCACGTTGAGAATTGGGGACAGCCTGAAGCCCATAGCCTATCGCCTATCGCCTATAGCCTGCAGCATTCCCATGTCAACAAGAGACAAACCAGCCGCTTATCAGCGCTGATAGATTGTGGGACCCGTGGAGAAAGTCGGAGCTACTCTCTGGCGCGAAGGGCAGCTCCTCGGCCCCGCAGGCAGATCGCCCGCGGTGCGATAAACACCCAGGCAAACGCATGAATTACAACAAAAAGCCAAAGTGTCAATAAAATTGCGTAGATTATTGCAGGCGAGCTCATAAAATTGTTTACTATCCACCCAGGCCAGGGCGGCCCGTGCAGCCCGGGCGACTGTCCATTCAACTGCCAATTTCCTGGTGCGTGTCGTAGACCAACTTCAGCTTCAACTAACCAAGTCCAAGTCCGAGTCCAGGTCTAAGATACATGTGCCTGCCGGCATTGTCCACAGTTGCTTTTTTTTCTCTATATGTTGTATATGAATTTATTAAATAAATGCATTACGCTCTAAAATAAAGGATGAGAATGAAAGCAAACTGATGACCAAGCCGCAGTGGGAATACACTAGAAAAAAGATTAAAGGCGGAATGCAAACATACATAGATGTATACACGTGTATGTAAATAAATCAAATTTAAATTAAATATCACTTTTATCTGTTATATTTAAAAACTTCCTTAACAACGATTTTGTTACCTTAATTTCTTACATTTGGCATTCTCTTGTTTAAGTTTCTTCATACGTACATACGTGCATATTGTATGTATGTGTGTGTGACGAATTTCCTTTAAGCAATCCCTTTTATTCCAGCTTGTTATCTTTGCCGTGTACAATCGATTTATTCTAGACTCTTCTCTCCAACGTGTAAATTGGCAATTCTTCATCTCCCTCTCGCATTCACACATGCAAGTGTGGAATTGCCTTTATTTGTCTCTTGAAAATTTCCCCCTGAATTGCCTACTACTACTACTACTACAATTACACAGGCTATGCGCTCATCTCTGTTTCTCTTCCAATTTCTGCTCAGCTGTGCGTAGGAAATTCTGTTGCAAATTTCCCTCTCATAAAAAAACTAATTCTGAGAGCTTGCCAACGGTGATTTTGAAAGAGTATTTAACGTCGTATACTATTTCTATGCTGTGCACTCGGCTGTGGTTGTGCCCCAGTGTCTAGCAACGGGGTGTCCCGAACAACTGTCCAGTTGGCAGTTGCAGCTCCAGTTGGGCATCTCGTGTTGCGCCCTCAGCGCCCATTGCGACAACTGCAATATTATTGTTAATATCATCGTAAATTCGAAATTCTTATGCTTATTGAATTTTCATGTTTGCCAGGCGTACGAGCGGCCAGGCGACACGTACCTCATCCTCTGTCTGTTTGTTGTTGCCGTTGTTTGTTGTTGTTGCTCTTGCTGTTTGGAGTAATACATGCAAACGATTTTAGTTATGATAAGAGACGAGTGTCAATAAATGCTCCTGCTGCTGCTGCTGCTGCTGATGGTGATGGTGATGCTGGTCCAGAGCTCGCATTAGAATAGAAGCCAAGCCAGACCGAGGCAAGGCCGATGCCAAATTAACTGAAATTGCAATTTGATCAAATTTCCACAATTTCCGTTTTACTAGTTTGTTGTTATTATAATTGCTTTGCTTGTGTATGTATGTGTGTGCGTGTGTGTTTGCCTATTGCCATATAATAACAATTAAATGTTTACTCAGCAACCACACAAATTGCCTTTTTATTGTTTGCACTGTGCAAATTTTATAATATTCGAATTGCAGCTGCCATTTATCAGATTGCAATTGCCTTGTGTCGTGTTGGCCATGGCAAGTGCTGCCATAAATGTTGGCCAAGACCAATCCAATGGCATTTGTGACTTTTAGATCAGCTTCTAGTTGCTTTGGCTCAAAGAAAATAAAGTTGAACTATGAGATAATTAAATATTTGCATTTCATATGGAACAGAACCTCTACATACATACATATGTATATATGTATGTATGTATATATGTATGTAGGTATATCGAGTATCACCTTTCCATGCACCGAGTAACCGCATTTGCAGCATGCGAAAAAAAAGTGACAACATCCCCAAGGCCCGGGACGCTGCTGCAAATAACTCAATCCTTAACAGAACTGACAGAAACCTTATAAATACAAGAATATGCTGTTGGCAGCGTTTGCCGTTTGCCGTTTGCTGTTTGCTCTCTGCGATCATCCAATCACCCGATCCCGATCCCGATCCCAAATCATCGTGTGGTTAACATCACATACATGGGAATGCAGCTCTGTGGGCCTCTCCATAATCATATGAGCGGTTCGACTCGGCCGAGCGCAGAACAAGTTTCACTTAGTTAGAAGCCATTTCTTATCGCCGCCTCTCGTTTGTCCGCATGCATGTATTGGTGGCACCTATTGGAAAATAACAGATTTAATTTGTCTAACAAACTGCTACCCACAAACACAATCAACGCGCACACACACACACTCACGACGCCTCGCAATGTCAGCGGACAGACAGCCGTCATATTGAGATCTCATCAAAAGACCGCACAACAAGTTGTGCTTCCAGTGATAAAGAGCGAGAGAGAGAGAGAGAGGGAAAGAAACGTAAGCGAACTCATTGAAATATTTTGACAGCGGCGTGGCAGGCGTTGAAGTTCAAGAGAAATGTCTCAAGTGCATTCGAAGTATTTCGTAGCCTGACCGCCGCAGCTGACAGCTGCGATCTCAGCATCTCACAAAGCGCTCAAGCGGAGGGGGTTGGTGGACACACATGACCAAGTCGGAGCATAGCCACATGGCGATCACAGTGGCTTATCACGTTGATAATGACAATCGATGATTCCTATGAAGGCTTGGCCCAGCTGGAACTCGGCCTCCATTTGTTACACATGGCTTTTGATTTTTTGATTATTTGTTTTTTTTTCTTCTTTTCTGTTCTGCTATATATTATTTTCTTAACATACATAGTATTTCCAAAGGTCTGTTACAGTTTTCTTAGTGGGCCCCGAGGCCGAAATTCAGCTTGGCTGAAACCACTTTAAAAACGTATCTTAAAACGTGACGCGCTTTCATATTGCGTGAAGTGTTTGTTTTAGATTTTGTCGGTCGAGCCCAAGTACAAATTGAAGATACGCGCACAATGCCATATAAACATACATACATACATATGCATAGTCTAACAATATGTATGTATGTTTGTGCGAGTCTTAATGCAATTAACATAAGTTTGTTGTTGCACTCAGCTGAGCTTCAAGTGCTCCACATATCCAGGCTCAGGCGTTGTCTACCTTGATAATGCTGCAATCCAATTGGGCTATCCATATACTGCTCCCATATATACAATGTATACGAGATAATGCAAGCTCTGGGCACTTTCAATTTGTTATTACAACAAATTAATTTTGACGGCCTGGCTGATTGCAAAAAACTGTCCAATTGGCATTAAAGCCTACGCCAAACAGCATGCGCGGCTCTCCAATGCCCGTCTCGGCTTCTATTGTCAGCTCGGCTTCGTCTACGTCTAGGTCGATGTCTACGTCCGTGTATGTCTCCCGTTGCCCGGTTGACAGCTCTCCAAATGCGAAAACAGATCAAAGCAAATTATGTGCAACGCCTCTTGGCTGCTTCTCCGCCAGGCTTGACTGGACTTGGTTTGGCTTGGTTTCGTTTGGCTTGGCTGCTTAGCAGCGCGCCGAGCTCTCAAGCATTGGCAATAAACCAAGGCGCTTGGCATCCAGAGATACAAATACCACTCGGATTCGCATTCGCATTCGCATTCGCAGCTAAACAAACTCAAGGCGTACGACGATGGCCAATGGATTTTCATTTGCGAGCCGGCAAGTATTTCATAAATCAACAAACTGCGACGTGAACACGTGGTTGGGAGTGCGGCGTGGTGCGGCGGGCCGGGCCGTAAGATGCGACTGTGTGGAACTGTGTGATGGCTCGATTAAATGGATTTCAATGTGCAGAACTTGTCTCTAGAGTCTCTTGCATTTCCATTTCATCAACAGCCATCAGCAGCAGCAGCAGGAGCCCAGGCAGGAGGCGGGCGAGAACTCATAACAAATTTGCGCGCTTTTATGCCCACAAATTGCCATGTCTTCAGCCAAGTGACAGCGCAATTATCGAGGGCCTGGCCAACGAATCGGATGGCTAATGGAACGGCGGGACGGCTGGGGCATGCCACAAGCCACAAGCGCAAGCTGCAGTTGACAGTTTGTTAAAGGGCGCTGAATTGATGAATTGTCTATTAGCAGAGAAGCAGAAGCTGTGGCAGAGGAAGAGAAAGAGGAAGAGTATGGGGTTCAGTATGAAGCCCATTTAGCATTGTGTCAGCCCATTAAAAGTCGCTGTCAAATATTTAGATATGTCTTCCCGATTTATTGCACAAATTCTTTGTATGTACGCTGAGATATGTATGTAGATACACATCTGAATAGGAATTATTATTCAGTAAAGGGGGTTTCAAGGAACAGATAACGCAAGTCCGCGATGTCGGCAGGCGTGCGGCACATGGGGCACTCCGAGGCGCCAATCAGATGCTCCCTGATGCACATATCTCCGAAGACGTGGCCACAGATCAGTGCGGTCACACGGTGGCTGCCCGACGAGCTCCACGGCTCCAGGCAGATGGAGCAAGTTCTGTAAGAGGGATCGACACGACTTGCATTAAGTTCTTCGATTTGATTCTTCAGTTCATCGATTTCCTTCAAATGGGTCTCCTCCTGCTGCTCCATATCGTATTGCAGGTCGCGGCAAGTCTGCTCCTTCTCGAACAGCTTCTCCTCAAACTCTTCAAAGAGCATATTTTGTGTGAGAAGCAAGCTTTCGATTTCCTCACGCTCGGCACTGGTTCCGGTTTGACACGGGATCTGCGTCTCGGCCAACGTGACGGACAGATCCTTTACCTTATTTACCACATCTTGCAGCTTGTTGCTAACAGTATGCACCTGGCGCTGCGGCAGATGATGCTTGCCCGAGGTCAACAACTTAGTCATCGCCTCCATGCCGATCAACAGTCCTTGGACGCAACTATTGTAGCTCTCATCCAATTTCTTGGTAGAAGCCTTTAGCATCTCGATTTCGGTGACGGCAGTCGATAGCTTCGACTTGAGCTGATTGCGTTCAACAAGCAGATTCTCCAGCTCTTGGCGAGCTTTGCCAGCAGTCTCCAACCCACGAGCTGCCTTGGCTGGCGGACCCCCAGAAGTCTTGTGACGTTTTGGTGCCATTGCTAGACTGATTTCCGCTCTTAGATGTACTTGAGAGGACTTAAATCTGATTTTTATTTCTTTTTTTTTTTTCGGGCAGAAAATTGCTGAAGCTGCTTGACAACCTTCACGAACTGGAGTCGAGAAATATCTTTCCCTCCCAATGCTTCCAAATGTCAACTTTCGTCCAATGTGTGCCCAAATAGCTGCCAACAATTCAGGATATCAATTAAGAAATCGGCATGGTCACACTGTTTTTCCAGGAACACGTCAGCGTTTGTCTTACTGTTATTCCAGTCTCAAATTGTGTCAAGCTGCTGAAGTAGCAAGCCGAAAGAAAAAAAAAAAAAAACATCAAAAACTTGTAATTCTAACAATCAAATAATTCTGAAAATCATTTTGCAAAATGCCAACTTACACCAGAGAGGAACTTCTAGCCATTAGGGAGAAGATGAAGTCTTCCCAATCGCAGCAGCAGAGCGAGAAGCCGAAGCCCGAGGGTCCCGCAAATGCCAGGCAGCAGCCCGATCTCGATGCCCTGGTGGGCCCCATTCGTTCTCTGTGGAAGAAGGCCAAGGACATTCAAAAGCACATCGACGTCTTCTATGCAACGGCTGAACAGCGCAAGTTGATGAATGGCGGCCAAGATGAGCGCGCCCTGAAGGTCTTCCGGGCTGCCAGGATTTCCCTGGCGAAGTTTCATATCCAGCTGCATCAGAAGATTTACGCCATGACCCTATTGGGACTGCCATCGAAGCACGCGCAGGCGCAAATGTTGAACAGCAAGCCGAGTATGGAGATGATTGATATTCTGAAGCAGCAAGTTGAGCATCACACCAAGCAGATGAAGAAGCTGAAGAAGCTGCTGGAGGACCAGATGAAGGTGCTGGAGAAACGTTTCGTCAAGATCGATCTGGCCATCAAACAGCTCAACAAGGAATATAAGAACGGCGAGCCCAAACACCACACAAAATGAGAATCGCAAAACTGCGACGACTTCTAAGCATAGTGTGGGCAAATGCGCTGAGCACGCCTAGTCCACTATGTTCTGATAAATAAAGTACATAAAATAAAAGAGTTTTTGGTTTATTTTTTCACTGCTATCGATAATTTGTTTACTTCAGTAGCTGAGATTTCTCGCTAATAAACAAATACGCATCAGCTCTCAGCTGCGGCGTCAGCTTTTTGCTGCCTTCGAGTCTAGCAACATTTGCAGATGCTTTGCAACATTTCAAATAAGTATGTGTGTGTGTATATATGTATGTGGGTGTTATATACACGCCCTAGGCAGCATATACATACATGATTCAACAGAAAACATTCTTCAGTCGCAGGGCTATCGAGCCACAGCAAGTTCTGGAAGCTCCGCTCGGTGCGTGAAAATTATTTTAAATACTCTGGCAAGCTTCAAAGTTGTCAAGGTGCTGCCACTGTGCTGCGTAATTTTAAATAAATGCCTAGCGCTGCCACACAACTAATTGCAACCAGTAAGTACACAATGATAAATGTAAGCCGAAGAACGCCAAGGCAATATCGCATCTCTAATTGCTATAACGTCAAATAGATAATTGAGAATCTGCTGCGCAATTGTCGCAAAGGTTGTGCAAGTTCTACTTGAAAAATAAACATATTTAAGTTTAAATATTGCAAATCCTTAAAGTGCTTTAAGTTAATGTAAAATTGCAATATTAAGTTTCACAAATTCTAATTCAAAATCTCAAATACATACATATGTATGTACCTAGGGAATTCCCAATAAGTACACCAATTTAATGTACATACATACATATTTCCCTTACAGTTTGAAACATGGATAATTCAAATAAGAATTCCGATATTGAGATTATGCCACACCCGATTGAGACAGCAAGTGCCAATGAAGTGGAATGCTGCAAGGCAATACTAACGAAGGCAAATCAATTGCAATATCAGTTGAACAAGCTGTCAAGCAAAATAGATGGTTTGCATTTGCAAAACCAATCCGAATTTATTGACGCCTCACTGCAGAACTTTACGCGGGACCTGGACAACCAGGTGGCTTCCATAAAGGCCATTCAAAATATGCAGGCCGAGGAGTTTGAGCAGAAGCTACTGGAAAAGGATCGGATGCGCCTTGAATTGCTGGACGCATTGAATAAGCAGGAGCAGAGCCATTTGCAGGAGACGGAAAAACTTAAAGGGCAGCTGGAGGCCAGGGACAAACGGTGCTTGGAGCTGGAGCAGCAAGTCGAAACCTACAAGAGCAACACTGAGCACAACACCAGCTGTCCCATTTGCTTCGATCAATGGAATTCGTCTGCCGCGCATCGCCTGGTCGCGCTTGGCTGCGGACATCTCTTCGGCGACAACTGCATCAGGAATTGCCTGCAGCAAGTGTCGGAGTGTCCACAGTGCAGAGCTCGAGCTGACCAATGTGAGATACGTTATATCTATGGACGTCCTGTGTAGAAGCCTCTAATAATGCTGAGGCATTACTGAAGAAATTAATGAATTATGAATATATATATGTTATGTTATTATTGAAGATTTGTTTGTGCTTGAATGAATGAATTCATGAATGAAATAATGTTATTATTGAAGATTTGTTTGTGCTTGAAGAATTTCGGAACAATAAATATGAAACAGTTTCAGTTTTAGATTTTGTGGAAGACTTACGTGGCTAGAATGGGATTCTTATACTCATTCACAATGGTAAAGTGAGTATATTGGTGTTGTGCTATGAGTATATTGGTGTTTATTCATATAGATTCATATGCCAAACATCACTTGACTGCAGTTGGCCCATGGCATGTCTAGCATTTAGCGTAACATTCTTCACATGATGCTGATGTTTGTCTTGTAGGGAATTATCATGCCAGAGTCTGCAATTATGCGCTAGCTGGCAGGAGTCAGGAATGCTATACATGCAGCGTATAGAAGCCAACAGGAGCCGCCACAGCACATGGACAATCGCAGCGAACAATGGACAACAGCTAAATCGGATGCGAGTGCCATTTGTCGAAATTGCATTGAATCTGGACATCGAATGCCGAAAATACAATTATGCTTAGCTCGATCAGCAACACGATCTGCAATGCAGAGAGTTGGGAACAGAGCCAGGGCAAGCAAATCAATGGATGCGCGTTAAGCTGTAATCGACATTCCAGCAATGCATAGCTCATTCTAATGCAAACACTGGCCAAGCCACCTTTGGCCAATTGATGGCTATTGCCAATTTGTATGCGACGGTAGCGGCCAGAAAGCCAGCGTGCCAGCCAGCATATCATTTTCAGCCGTAGGATGTGGCAACCGACAAAACAACCACAGATGCCGGCGATAATGGCGATAATAATTGTCTTTATCTTTTTAGCTCAAAATCCAGCCAGCAGCCGTAGCAGCAGCTCCAGCGAGTGGACGTCGTCTAACAATTGGCCGTTAGCCACACTTTCCCAGACCCGCACAATGGGCCGTGGCTTGGATATATTTTATCAGAGCACACATTTCCAGTGTCCAGTTCGCATTTGGTTGTTGTATGGAGCAGCGGCAATAGAAGTCATAAAAAATGTGTGTTGAAAACAAAAAATTTCTTTATTTGCATATTAAGCAAATTAGGGGGCGCCCAAAAGAAAGAGGCCAAAAAAGCACAAAGAAAAGCCACGAACGCAAAGAAAAACCAAAATGAAAATACAAATAAAAGCAGATAAATAAATATGTATATACAAGCAATCAGTCCAAATGGAGTCATAAAACTTGATAAATGCTACACATTTGCTCAACTCAACTTTTTCTAAATGATAATGCTGATGGCGACGCCAGGCAGAGCTCTCTTGGAATGTAAGCGGTACCAACTGGAAGAAACAATAATAAAAAGTTAAATTTGTTGTCCGCTATTCACAACTCTTCGAAGTAAATGTGACAAAAACGAAACTGGAAACTTGAAA